AGGCGATCACCTGGGACGGCACACACTTTAAGGGCGAGCGTCAACGCAGGCAGCACTGGCTCGGGGCTTGTGACTGTGACGGGACTAGGGCTTGGGACAGTGTCCCTGACAGGGAGGGGACAGTCCGGGTCAACAGCCGCAGAGAGCACATCATGGATGTCGGAGAGTGCGGTAGCTTGCAGGCTGTCGGGAGGATCAGGCGAAAGCAAATCGCTGGCGTTGACCGTGGGTGAGGCTGTAGCCACCATCACAGAAGCTTGGAGCTCAGGAGCTAGCCAGACGAGCTCGGTGCGTGTACACAACGGCGCAGGTACAGGGTCTGTGAGCATGACGGTACAAGGATCAGGGCTGTCTTCCGCGATGTCATCACCGCAAGGGAGGCTAGGCGTGTCCGCATGTACAAGCACTGACTGGGAATCAGAGACCTCGATACGATGCAGGGGCACGGCGGGGGCGAGCAGAAGTCACCATGTCTCCTTGACATCCGTAGGGTCTGTCGGAAGCGTGACGGAGCAACTGTCGTGGGACGAGGGGGCGGTGAGCTCATGGCTGGGCAGATCAAACCAGGCAGCCACAGGGTCGGCACACGTCACTGTAGTCGGAGGACAGCTTGGGAGCTCAGACAGAAGCCCGACGGTGCGAGCAGGGCACAGCTCATGCGAGGGATCAGAGTGGCTATCAGACTCGGCCGTCATCTGTAGAGCAGGACAATCAAGTGGCTCCAGCGCGCAGGTCACCTTGACAATACTGGAGACAGCCGCAAGCAGCACTGCCATGTACTCGACCGACCTCGCAACCATGAGCACAGCCGAGCCGGGCAACAGGGCCAGCACAGGGAGTGCAAGCGTCACCCTACACGGTGCAGGGCTTGGGAGCGGACCAGGCATCGTCGGTCGGCCGTATACAGGCATCTGCTTGCTCAGCCACAGACTGGGTAGGAGAGACAAGCGTCGTATGCTTGGCATCAGCCAGCACGGGCTCGAGCCTCCGAGCATCGGTGACGACGGGAGGGC